GGCTTTACTTTTGTAAATTCAGTGGGCTTCCAGTTGGGCCTAAGAATCCATGTTTTTTCCAAGCCCTCTTATATGACAAAGAAGCCCATGTAAGAAAGGAATAGCCAAGTTAATAAGGACCCATTCACACTGTATAGCCCAGTAACTTCCAGTGCAGAACAGTGGGATCATCTGGGAAACCTGTGCTCAACAAGAGATCCCTGGACTCACCTGGAATTTTTTTTTTCACTTTTTAGTTGGAAAAATCTCAAACTTGGCTTCCCAGGTGACTCAGTGGTAAAATATCTACCTACCAAAGTAGGAGTTGCAGGTTCAATCCCTGGGTCAGGAAGATCCCCTGGAGAAGCAAATGGTAACCCACTCCAGTACTTTTGCTTAAAAAGCCCCATGGACAGAAGAACCCGGTAGGCTACAGTCCATGGGGTCGCAGAGTTGGACACGACTTAGCGAAACAATAGCAACAATCTCAAACTTACAGAAAAGTTGCAAGAAGAATACAAATAACTTCTCTTTGCTGAATCATTCAAGTGTTGGTTGTTGACATGGTGCCCTGGCGCTCTTAAATACCTTTTTCTTTTTAAATTGTTTTTGTTTTGGATACTTTAGTCTTTCCTACAAACAAGGACATTCTACTATGTCGCCAAAGAAAACCCATCAGAACAAGGAAGTGTAATATCATCATGTCACCCTCTCTCTGCTGCTCGGACCCCATTCAAGTGTTGCCATCTGGTCACAAAGCGTCATTTAAAGTAAAAGAGAATGGAATCATGTACTGTATTTATGCCATGTCTCCTCAGTCTCCTTACTTTGAAAACGGGTTCTCAGACTCTCCTTGATTTTTATGACCTTGACATTTTTAAAATTACAGTCCTTTTACTTTGTAGAATGACCCTCAGTTTGCTTGGCTGATGTTTTCTCATGATTAGACTCGGTTATGCCCCTGAGAAGGGAATATCATAGAAGTGATGCCACATTCTCATCACTTCCGATCAGGTGGTACATGACTTTGCCATGTCCCGCTGCTGGTATGGGCACTTTAATGACTTGTTTAAGATGGTGCCTGCCAGACTGTACACTATGAAGTCATTCTTTCTGTCTCTGTAATTAAGTATTTTTTTTAATGAGAGAGAGCCTCAAGATTATGTAAATATCTGGTTCCTCATCAAAATTTCAAATTATCTATGTATTAATTTATGTCAGTATGTACTATATATAAACCACTACTACCCTTACTTATGTTGATGCTCCCATTGTCCCAGGTATGTCCAGTGAGAACTTCAGGCTGGCTCAGGTGCTCTTCAGTCATGATTCTTTGATTTGATTTGTTTTTTTGGCACAGTATGTCCAGGTTCACTGTTTGCTTTCACTGCCCCAGCACTGAAATCAGCCAATCCTGCAAAGAACTTTTAGAAATGGAGATGCTAAATCAAGATGCTCCTTGCTCTTGAGGTGTTGCTATTTTCAAGCCCTTCAGGTAAACAGGGCTAAGGAATAGACAGATAAACACACCCATTCCTGTATATTATACACGCACACCATTTACACCTGGATTTATCTCTATGTCTATTTCTACATTGAAAACCATGGGAGTTTCCAACTCTCATCCAACACCGGAAGATTCATTCTAGTTTTCTCCTGTTCCGTATTTGTAACTCTGTGACAGTAAGAGACTTCCCAGTGATAAATACACTTATTTGCTAATTTTTTCTTATCCTAGTCCCCTAACGCCCATGTGGATACTCTCCCTACCCCTCTGGGCACAGATGCTCCATCTAAGCAGGAAGACGCTGCACTGAGGGGCCTGTCGTCTTGCTTGGACGCCTCCCAGGGACACTCTCTTGTTAGGCTCTGACACTCCCTGGCCACCTCTGCGTGATCCCCTGTTAAATGCCCTCCTCACTCTGCTGAGGCTCCGGGATCCAGCCTGGGCTTTGTCACCGCAAACTAGGTCCCTGTCCCGCTACCTCCACATGGATGCCTACTTTTTTCAGAGCCAGTCAATGGCTTTGGACTGAACCACTCAGGAAGCAAAGCAACGGGAAGAGGAGGAGGTGGAGGAAGAAGAACCGTCTGGGAGACTGGAATTGAGGATCGCTCTCGGGGGGCATTAGTGCCCGGGTTTGTAAATGCACTCCCAGGAGATTCTGCTAATAGCCGTATTTTGTAGAGATGTGGATGGACCTAGATAGAGCCTGTCATACAGAGTGAAGTAAGTCAGAAAGAGAAAAACCAGTATCATATATTAGCGCATATATGTGGACCCTAGAAAAATGGTACGGATGAACCTAGTTCCAGGGAAGGAATAGAAATGCAGACATAGAGTATGGAGTTGTGGACACAGAGGGAGAAGGCGAGGGTGGGACAAACTAGGAGATTAGGGCTGACATATACACACTGCCATGTGCAGGACAGATGGCTGGGCTTGGGGCTCTGTGATGACCTAGATGGGTGGGATTGGGTGGGGTGGCAGGCAGGTCCAAGAAGGAGGGGAAATACTTACTCATATAGCTGACTCACTTCATTGTACAGCAGAAAGTATCACAAAACTGTAAACAATTATACTCCAATAAAAAAATGTTTTAAAAAATAACCATGTTTGGAGTCCACCAGGTTTAAGACTCTTATATTAGAGTGGGCTGAGGAAACAAATCAATTGAACACTAAGTACTGTTCATTATTTTAAGCTCCGAGACAGATACATAGAGTCAGGAAGATGCTCTAGAGAAGGGAATGTCTACCCATTCCAGCATTCTTGCCTGGAGAATTCCATGGATAGAGAAGCCTGGTGGGCTGTGGTCCATAAGGTTGCAAAGTGTTGGACACAACTGAATGACTAACACTTTCACTTTTCATCCCTGCTCTGTGAAAGCGAAAGTGTTAGTTGCTCAGTTGTAACTAACTCTTTGAGACCCCATGGACTGCAGCCTGCCAGGCTCCTCTGTTCATGGAATTCTCCAGATAAGAATACTGGAGTGGTTGCCATTCCCTTCTCCAGGGGATCTTCCAGTCCCAGGGATGGAACCCACGTCTCCTGCATCACAAGCAGATTCTTTACTGTCTAAGCCACCAGGGAAGTCCATGTCTGCTCTGAGGAGCTATCAATTCAGAATAGGACACTTGCTGAAAATAGAACTAGAATACATGAAATAGTTTATGTAAACAGAGGTATGCATAAATGCTATGGGAGTAAAGTGGAAATGACTAACTCAATCCAGGGAGTCAGGGAAAGTTAATAGTGGAACTGAGTTTTAAAGGAGGAGAATAGGAGTTTACCAGGGGAAGAAGGGAATTGTAGCCGAAGGAACTATTTATTTAAGGTAGGAACAGATGTGAAAGCTGGGATCTCTACTAAGTATGAGAACCTCCTATGAGCACTTATCATTTGGGTTGGAAGGTGAGTTAGCAGTTCAGATCAGTCAATGTGGTGTTCCATGTTGGCCCTTGAAGGCAATTTGGTCAGTCTTTTGGGGCAATGTCAAGTACACAGGGGCACTATTCAGCCAATTTGTTTGCTAGAAAAATCAATACATGCTAATATTTAACATTTTAACTATTCTAGAAAATACCCAATGTAGAAAGTTAAAATCCCCATCCCCTTTTCCACCTCCCACAAATAACCACAGCAATAATTTATTGCATTTTTCTTGTGATTTTTCCTGTACATATACTACTAGTTATATGTGGGTATAGTTATATTTTTCCCCCAAATTGAACTTTTGGTACCACTTTACACTTGCTATTTTTAACTTAACATTTCTTGGAAAGTTTTACACACTACTGCATCAAATTCTATTTAGTTCTTTTAAAATTTTTCTACTTTAAATCATCTTTTCTTTATGTTTATTCACACATTAAATAAATTGGTAATATAAAAAAAGTGATGTATGTTAACCAATAGTCTGGTACTACTGCTATCTAATTACATGGCCTTTCCCAGGGCTTAAAATATGCATACATGCTTAGTCATGTCCAACTCTTTGTGACTCCATTGTAACCCGCCAGGCTTCTCTGTCCATGAGATTCTCCAGACAAGAATACTGGAGTGGGTAGCCATTTGCTCCTGCAGGAAATCTTCCCGATCCAGGGATTTAACCCACATCTCTTGCGTCTCCTGCATTTGCAGGTGGGGATTCTCTGCCACTGGTGCCACCTGGGAAACTAGAGCTAAGTGCTGTCCTCTGTTAGCATGTGTCCTCCTGCTTTGTCTCTGTTTATTTACACATAAACACACACACACACACACACACACACACACACACACACACACACTGGATTTTCTTTTTCTTAAATGGGCTCGTCGACAATGTTCAGTTTCAGGTATTATCAAATTTCAAAGCTTGAAAGAACATATAAGATGGACTGCAACCCATCCATCATTCCAGGACTTTTCTTCCCAAGACCCTGCAGTCTCACTTGGAGCCACTGCAAACACATCACAATAGGCTCTGGGAACTGAGCCACATCAAAGAAAGTGGTGCACCAGTGAGGTCTCCCTGGGACAGCGGACCCTCGGCACACCTCTCACGGCTTTAACACTGCACGATCGCCCTGAGGAGAAACAGATGGAAAGAAGAGGAAAGGAAGGGAAAGATGGACGTGTCCCTCGGGTCTTAAGGTTTAGCTGGAGTTCTCAGTGGAGCGCTAGACTTATTGCCTCTTGTAGCCAGAAGGATGAAGTTTGAAGCATGTAAGATCTTGGAAAATGTGCAATTGAGCAAGGTCTAGTCATCAGTGATTGGAAGAGAAATATGCAGTAAGAGCCAGATGGGATTTAACCAACTCAAAGGCATTTTGAAAGTTCACTTCAGTGTTAGAATTGGAACCTTTTGCCCCAGATTTCTCTACAAATATTCTATAGGCAATTTTTTAAGCCCCAGAACCCTTAACTAATGTTATTTAAGGCAATTTTATGTGTCTAATTGTACAGATTGTTTGCTAACTTTTGAACAAGAAATTATCTACGAATACCCTTGTGTCTAGTGATATTTCAAGGTAAGAGAATGCTCTGGAATGCTTCCCATTTTCCGAATGTAAGATTTTCCAAAATAAACGTTGGAGTAACTGCATGGCTGATACCATGTGAACAATTTAATTCACACAATAATATTTCTGGAGTTTATGGAAGCTCGGCCTTTTTCCAGGAGGCTTGGAAGTCCAAAAGTGAGCTGTTTCTTCTCAGTGGGAGAAAAGATGGAGGATGTGAATCGGAATTGGTAAGTTGGAGAGGAGGTCACAAACTGAATGAAGTTAAGTATAAAAAAGTGCCTTGCAATCTTCAGTGGGGGAAAAGCCAGTTGCATGGAGAGGAAGGACTGGTTACCATTAACAGCTTCAAAATGAGGGCCTTCGAGGAGAATTGAATGGGGAAGTTAACTGCTCGCTTCTCTCTCTCTTCTACAGGACGGGGCTCTTGTAATGAGATCCAGATGCAACCCTGGGATAGCAGGGATCCCCAAGCTTATCTGTTCAGAAGGTCCCCAAACCTTCAGGGCTTGTAGCTCACATGCCTCCTCTTCCAAGGAGTCTGCCCTGATGGCCAGATTGCATCAGCTGACATCACACTGTCAAGATGATCTGTTTCCCTGTCCTTTTCCCCTTCGTCTGGGAAATTCTTGCGACCAGGATATTAAAAGCTTGCAATAAGTATGTGCTTAAGTTTGACTGAATGAGCCTCGCTGACTGGAAATAAGCCCTCCCTTCTCTAAGCTTTCTTGGCGCGTTGCACTTACCTCACTCCTATAGTTTTTTTACATTCTTCCTTATACTATAATTTCTGTATATATATATATATATATATATATAACTCCATTATTAGAATTCTTCTGTAAGAGAGATGAGATAATGCATGTAAAGTACTAGTGCCATATGGCCAAATGAATGACAGCTATTATTATTTGTGTAATGGGAAACCTACCTGTTGTTTAGTCACTCAGTCGTGTCTGACTCTATGACCCCATGGCCTATAGCCCACCAGGCTCCTCTGTCCATGGGATTTCTCAGGCAAGAATACTGGAGTGGGTTGCCATGCCCTCCTCCAGAGGATCTTCCCAACCCAGGGATCAAGCCCATGTCTCCTGCATTGGCAGGCAGACTCTTTACCACCGAGCCGCCTAGGAAGCCCCTAAAGGGATGGGGCCAGCAAAGCTTTCTGAGGACGCCATCAGGAGTCTATGACAGAATACATGGACTTGTGTATCCAGTGAACGGAGGAGCTGAATCTTGAAGCCAAACCTTGGTGCCCCATGTGGCCAGGGCAATATCTTGGACAGCAACAGCAGTACGTCCGCCATAGGCAGGTCCAGTAGATGATGAAGGGGCAGTGGGGACCCAGTATGGCAGACTCATAACAAAGAAACTTTTAGATTGATTGACTCACCAGTTCTCTTTCAACCTGGCTTTTGGTAGCAGGTTATAACCCTTTAGACCGAGGAAATGTTTTGAATTCATTTTTTAAAATTCTTTTTTAAAAATATTCATTTATTTAGCTATGTTGAATACTAGCATTCATTTATTTAGTTATGTCTTTGTTGTGGCATGTGGGCTTAGTCATTGCAGAGCAATGATTTTTCAGTTACAGCTCACATGCTTAGTGACTCTGTGGCATGTGAGACAGTTCCCTGACCAGGGATTGAACCCTCATCCCCTGCACTGCAAGACATATTCTTAACCCCTGGACCATCAGGGAAGTCCCTTGAATTCTTAAATAACTCAGGCAAATGAGACATGGGGCTTTCTGCTAATGGAGATATATGGGTAGAGCAGTGAACCGAAAAAAATTAGGTGTGATTGTATTTGGATTTCAGGATGGTAAATGAGGTCAGAGTGGTTTTATCTTCTTTCTTATCATCATTGGCTCAGAGCATCTGGCACATGATGGGTGATCCATGAGACCAAGGGATCTCACGGAGTCCACTTTCTTAATGCAATTGAGAATCCAAGTTTTTTCAGGGAGAACCCAGAGTCCCAGTGTGAAACAGATTCCAGGCCAACTCAAGAATGGACCTGGGTCTCCACAGGATACTATAACCAAAACAGTTTTCTGGGCTGCCTCTACCACAGGTAGGAAACAGAGAGGTGGATCTCAAACCCTCCTTCTCTGCTGTTCTATATTTCACCTGCTGCTTTTCCTAGAAAGTCCATGAAGTTGAGGCTCACACCTTAATTCCACTTCAGGTTCACCATCCGGTACAATGTGTGTTCAGCTTGTGTTAATGACTGACTAATTAGCTGGCTGAGTGCAAAGTTTGAACATTGAAAGAACCAGAGTAGTTATCAATTGGTTCCAGACATGAGGTCAGAGTGACAATTCAAGGAAACTATTTCCTTCTGATTTTATTTGTGTCTCTGTGATTTTTCATTATTAAAAATTAAACCTATCATTTCAAAAGAAGCATTCTACTTATAATCTTATGACTGGATAAACAACAGTACCTTTTGGCCCTGTCTTATCTCCCAGCTCCACTGTATTGGGTAAGACCTTGGGCTTTGGGTCAATAGCACCAATTCAATCATGTTTGAATCTTTTTTTTTTATTAAACTTTTTATTTTGTATTGGGGTATAGCTGATTAACAATGTTATGATAGTTTCAGGTAGACAGCAAAGGGACTCAGCCATACATATACGTGTATCTAATTTAAATCACGTTCTTACAACCTGTTAATTGAGTGATCTTCAGCAACTCATTTAATTTCCATAGTGTATTCCTGGTGTTTAAAGGGGGATTATAATTGTACATGGTTTGTAAAATGAAATAACTTATATGTCAGGCACTGTGCCTGACATAGAATAACAGCCAATAAATATTAGTCATCAGTATTATTTATTATTTTCTTCATCACCAAACTCTCTGCTCCCTTTTACTCCTTATTTCATGTTCACACTTGAACCCACAGAACCCCAGTAGGCACACCGCACACACTCAGACGTCCTTTTAAAAGACCTTCAATGACGTTCTCATTGCCAAGGGCAGTAAATACCCTCCATTGTTCCTCCTGTTTTCTCTGGGGTATTTGACATCATCAAACTCTATTCTCTTTCTGGAATTTTCTCCTCTCCTGGTTTCCATGACAATCCATTCTCCTGATTCTTCTGATGAATCTCAACATCCCTCTTCTCAGCTTTCTTACCCATCTTCTTCCTTCATTGGTCTGTCCTTTTATATCACTATTCCCAGATTTTGTCCTTCACCTGTTTTCTTTTCACCTCATACACTACTCTTTTGACTGCAACCATTTATAACCCTATTATCCTTAAATTTATATTTATGCATCTATCTTAATCTCTGTGTGTGTGCTAAGTAGCTTCAGCTGTGTCTGACTCTTTGTGACCCTATAGACTAACCCACCAGGACTCCTCTGTCCATGGGATTCTCAAGGCAAGATTACTGGAATGGGTTGCCATGCCCTCCTCTAGGATCTTAATCTCTGTACCTGTATTTCTGACATTGTAACTGACAACTGGATTTCCCTTGGGAACCTCAAACCTAGCATACATACATAGTAAAATGTGTCCTCTCCCATCCCAGAGCAGCTCCTTATCTTTTGAGCCTTTTCCTACTTAGTGGTGTTACTGTTCCTCCAGTCATTCAAGCAAACTGGCTTTATTTATAACTTCTCCCTCTCTCTCATCTGTCCCCCCACCTCAATATCAATCATTCTATTCATCCCACTCCTTAACAGTTCTCAGTTCTATCCTTTCTTCTCTATCCTCACTGCCTTGATTTATCCTCACAAACTTGATTTAGGCCATCAGTAGCTCTTGACTAAATCTGCAGTAGCTTTCTACATAGCTGCCATTTTGCATTTCTAAAACACAAATATAATCACATCACTCATCTGCTAAAGGCTTTTGCAGACTGCACACTCAAAACTAAACAGACCAAAGTGTTTGTTGCCCTCCCTCCCCCAATTTCATATGTCAAAATCTTAACCCCCAAAGATGATAGTTATCAGTAGGTGAGGCCTTTGGGAGATGCTTAACTCATGAGGGTAAGGCCCTTGTGAAAGAGACTAGTGCCTTAGATAAGAGATTCCAGAGGGACCTCGAGCTCCTTCCGTTGTCTGAGGACACAGCAAGAAGGCACTGGCTATGAACCATGAAGTGGGCACTCAGGAGAGCATGACCATGCTGCAACTTGACCTTGGACTTCCAGCTTCCCAAGCTGTGAGAGATAAATTTCTGTTGCCTATAAGCTAAAAACAACAACCAACCAACCAAAAACTGGACAGACTAGAGTGGAGCTGCTGGAAAGAAAAAAAAAAAGTAATTTACATTTAAAAAGAAATTAGAGCAGTTTCAAAGTCTCCATGGTGACTTTATAACCGTATGGTTCTTACTTGCATTCTGATATGTTTTCTTAAATAAAAGAAAGAAATGGAGAGAGACCCAGCACACTGGGAAGTCACATAAGCCTAGGACAGTCCATGGGAACTGTTCATGTGAACATCGTTCACCACGGTGCTGTGGAGCAAAGGTTGAGAACTACTGGCCTGTGTCTTGGTGACTGCCAAATTCTAAGACCTCTGCCTTTGCTCTCCCAGTATATGTGTACTCTCTGAGTTCGGTGTTCAGGGGTGAGAGAGGCCTGCCAGTGACTCAGAATAAATGAAATGCGCAGGAGGCTAAAAGCAGACACCAGGATGATTACTGAATAATTTTCAGTGAGAACTAAAATGGTCAAATAGATTGGAATGTCAATATTACCTGAAGGATGCTTCTTGTTACTAAGCTACTTAGGAAGTCTATAGTCATAATATTACTTTGTGGGCCTGGCTTAGATATTCTGTTCTATCTTTCTCGCCAATAAGGATTGGTCTTGCTGATGAGACTGGAAATTGATAACTTCCTGTGTCTATCCCCACAGTAGGAACCACCTTGTCATTAGACCTGGAAATGATTCACATAGTTTCCCCAGCAGTAAGTTTCTCCCCTTGGGGCATTGCTGTGATGGGAAACATTTGTGTGTGCTTCTCAGACTCTTTTTCTCTGCTTTGCAATTGAACAGTCTCTCTCAGAGTTATACCTTTTTTCTTTCAATCAAGTTGCAGTCAAATCCTCTAGGTTTGAGAATTTTCCTGTCTCTAGGTGACTTTTCATATCTGCTCTGATCCAGAGATGCTTCATTATCTTTAGGGTTTCAGTGTCATGTGGGCAGTTTATTCCAAAGGTTTCCGACTTCTTGAACTTACTCTAGACCTCAAGTACTGACAACAACTAGTACTGATCACCAGAATGGAGGAATTAATCCTTTCAGAAACTGATGGGCCTGGGAGGTGACATATGAGTTGATTCTTAAAGGATGGATGAGATTTTCCAGGCCAGGTAACAGGCAATTACAAAGGCAAAGAGACTTACAAAAAGCATGCTATGTCCTGGGAGCGCTCAGACATTTAGTAAGGTTTTGATAGAGGATGGGAACTGGTAGGAGGAGAAACAGGGCAAACAGGTCAGGGTCGGGTTAATTGAGAGCCTCAGGTTGCCATGGTGGGTCATGGATATTCAACAGGGACCCCAGTGAAAAGTCTACTGCCCACCCCAACCCCAATCTAAGAAAAAGCACTTCCTTTCTCTTCTGCCTAGTGAGAAGGTGGATATGCTCAGATAGGGTTTTGGGGAGGAAGGAGAAAGTATGTTTCATCTTCTG